GTTTAGAAAGTGTCCAAATAAGAGGGAGAGCCCTTAAAACAAAACAAAAGAAAGGTATTTCAAAATACCTCTCGGAGTTTGATTCTAGTTAGTTGAGATTAACATGTTAATGCAAGTTTAATAAAATCTGACTTGGTAGCTTACTTAGAGTGAGGAGTTTAACTCAAATATGCTTGCGATGGTATGCTTAACACAAAGAATGGCAAAACAATTGTTAAAAGCAAGCATGAGCATGTTTAAATATATAGGTATAGTGTAATTGTCGATTTTAGTTTTGTTTAATACAAAAAGCTTTAATCAATATACCCATATGTATATACTCAACAAGAGCTTTGATTGCATCAGTTCATGGTTTTGTTGATTATTTTGTTGTTATAAAAAAGGATTGTCAGCTTGTAATTCGCTATGGATGTCGGTTGCTTAGATGATTTTCTAAAGGAAAGGTAACTGTAGAGATTGATAAAGAACCAACCTTTCCTCATTGTTTGGTTCAAGGGTATGGCTGCTGGGAGTTTTGCTGCCGCTGCTACCTTCTGCCCCTCAGTTCCTTTTTAGTTTTCTTGTTGTTGTAAGCTTCGTGTTTGATGTTTGTTGATGATTCTGCCCTCTTTTGCTTATTTTTGCTGCTGTGTACGTATTTCTTATGTTTTGGTTTCTTGTTGTGCTTTGTGTGTATCAGAAAGTAGAAAAGGGGAAGTTTTGCAGAGTTTCTCTGCTCTGTGTTTATGGATCAGAATAGAAAGAAGAAGTGGAGTGAGTTGTTTTTGTTTTGTTTCAGGAAGTGAAGTAAGAAGGAAGGGGAAGAAGAAGGCCCAGGCAGTAAGCTTGGGGGAAGAAGAAGAAGAAGAAGAAGAGGAGCTATCCGTCTGCCTCTCTCTCATCATCTGTCTCTTGTTGCTGCCTCCTTTTCTTTATGTTTTGTTGTGTGTGCTCTTCCTTTCCTTGTTTGCTTTGTACGTTGTCGTGTTTAAGAAGGAGAGTAATAGGAGAGCTTTTTTATATATCTGTGTTTGAGGAAGTGGAGGGTGAAGAAGATGGTACTCTGTTTTTTGGCAAGGATAAAGAAGTTCTTTTCTGTTCAGAGGAGGAAAGGAGATATGTAGAAATTTTTTGTTGCACATGGGGAGGAAGAAGGATGAAGAAGAAGAAGAAAGTTCAGGCCCTGCTTTTGTTGAGAAGGAGCAGATCGAGGTAGGGGAAAGGAAGAAGAAGAAGAAGAGCTCCCCCCTTATTCAGAAGAGTGGAGTGTTTTTTTATAGGAGAGTCAACTTGTTACCCAAGTCTGCAACAGTGTCGGGTTTGGGTCGGACCGGTCTGAGTTGGGTCGGACCGATATGAGTTTGGTCAGACCTGTTCTCTGACCGATTTGACTTTGTTGACTGGGGCTGGACTGAGTTGACTTTGGCTTTGATCCCTTGTAATAAAATTTGTAATTTGTAATCTTTGTTTAATGAAAGGGTCTATGTAATTGTAATTGATTACTAATCATAGTTATAACTATTATTTAGTAATCAAAACTTATGTTAAGGGTAATCTCTGTTTAACCTTCTCCTCATATTTTATTGTTCTCAACTCCAACTCCATCGTCCAATTCAATTGTTATTGGTCTTAAACAACTCATGACAATGAGATTAATCAATTGGTTAATTCGCTTAACCAAACCAAAACATGAAAATCGAAACCCCACTAACCCAAACCGAGTGAATGTCTTAAACATCAACTTGACTCTATCAATCGAGATTTGCTATTTCTTATCTCATAGAGTTAATGCGAACACGACCGTTTCAAGCACTATCAATATATTTTAGTTTGAAAATCAAGTAACTCGCTATGCAAATCTTCAATAAAAACTAAATTTTATTTAAGTAAAAAGATTTTAACCTGGACAAAAAGTGGTGTCTACAGATAAGGCTTGAAATTAAGTTAGAGAGAGTACCAGAGGATGATCTAGAGAATGCGGCAGCGATGTTGGTCAAAGGTCGCCGCTAGTCGAAGGTCGCCGAAATGATTACACGTCGGAGTTCAAGGTCGTCGAAATCTCTGGCAAGAGGAGAAGTCGCCGCTAGTCGAATCTCAGGAAACCGGACAATTCAAATCTCGCCTCTGGTCGACGAAATAGACAAATCAAATTAAACCTCGAATCTCCAAATCTCGGAATCCAGGCTAGAAATTAAGTTGAGAGATACCAGAAGAAGACTGCGAGATTGCGGTACTAGCGATGTCGGTGATAGATGGAGCAGCAAGAAAAGGCTTCAAGGTCGGTCGCCGGAGAAAATGACAGAAGGAGGAGGATCAAATCGCTCTCGCTTGTCGTCTCGACCTCTTGTTTTTTTTTTCTTTTTTTCTTTTGCTCAACAGATTTTACTTTATTCCAAAAATTAATTTTTGCATTCAAAGAAGGGGAAAAACAAAAAATGTAATTGGGCCTTGAAGGGGTTAATAAAACCCATGTATTCATTTGCTGCCAAAAGCCTGAAAGCCAAAGCCTGAAGCGGTTATAGGAACCGCTGAAAGGGGCTAAGATCAGGTGACTAAGTCAATCTGAGCCTTCCATGCTCATTAAAATCCTAAGGCTACAATTAATTCATTTTAAGGAAGGACAACATAGTAATTGTACATTTTAATTTTGTAATTAAAAAAAAAAAAAGAGTGCTTCCCTCATCTGTTTGTCGCACGCGGAGATGAATCCACAGAGACGGCGGCGGCCAGGGACGACGACGGCGAAGGACGACGGCGGCCAGGGATGACGGCAGTGAGAGATTAAGGTCGATGGCGTTCTGTGTTCGGGGGGAGAGAGAGAGAGAGGCGGAGGTAGAGGAGAAGAGAGAGAGGCGATGGCGACCGTAGAGGAGAGAGAGCGGCGGCGGTAGAGGAGAAGAGAGAGAGACGGCGGTGGCGGCGAGGAACAACGACGACGGCGGCGAGGAACGGCGGCGGCGGCAAGGAAGAACGACTAGAGGGACGACGACCGTGGAGGAGAGAGAGGCAGCGGCGGTTGAGGAGGAGAGAGACACCGACATCGCCAATTTGTTGGCGGCGACTATTTCGTAATTTTATCATTCCAGTTTGTATACTTTATGTTATGATTTGTACTGTTAGTATGTTTTGTATTGTTTGTCATTTTTTGTGATATTTTGTACGTTTAGTATGCTTTGTACTGTTTGTCGGGGTTATTTTGTAATGTTTGTACGCTTTGTTATTTTGTAATCTTTGTATGACTATTTTGTATATATTGTAATTTGTAACTTTTGTTGCTCAAGTTTGTATACTTTTATGTTATGATTTGTATACTTTGTATTCATTTGTTTGTAATACAAGTTTACCAATCTGTATTGTAAGTAGTTATATTCTGTACGTGTAGTATGCTTTGTACTGTTTGTCGGTTTCTTTTGTAATGTTTGTTGGTTTCTTTTGTATTGTTTGTAATGTTTGTTATTTTTGTCAACCATGTTTGTAATGTTTGTTGGTTTCTTTTGTATTGTTTGTAATGTTTGTATGACTATTTTGTATATATTGTAATTTGTAACTTTTGTTATTCAAGTTTGTATACTTTTATGTTATGATTTGTATACTTTGTATTCATTTGTTTGTAATATAAGTTTACCAATCTGTATTGTAAGTAGTTATATTCTGTACGTGTAGTATGCTTTGTACTGTTTGTAATGTTTGTTTGTAATGTTTGTAATGTTTGTTGGTTTCTTTTGTATTGTTTGTAATCTTTGTATGACTATTTTGTATATATTATAATTTGTAATTTTTGTTGCTCTAGTTTGTATACTTTTATGTTATGATTTGTATACTTTGTATTCATTTGTTTGTAATACAAGTTTACCAATCTGTATTGTAAGTAGTGATATTCTGTACGTGTAGTATGCTTTGTACTGTTTGTCGGTTTCTTTTGTAATGTTTGTTGGTTTCTTTTGTATTGTTTGTAATCTTTATTATTTTTGTCCACCATGTTTGTCATTTTTGTCAACCATGTTTGTAATGTTTTTTGCATCACAAAACAATACATATAAAGTATACAAATTATTAGTACTTACAATACAAACAGACGTGATTTGCATCACAAATCAATACATATAAAGTATACAAATGAATATTACAAAACATACAAACCATACAAATCACACTGACATTATGTACAAAAGTACTAACAATACAAACTGACAACACTTTCATTACAAATCACTGTTCTTCCCTCTCTCTCCACCGTTGTTGCCGCCGTCGACTCTCTCTCCACCGATGCTGCCGCCCGACTCTCTCTACTGCCGTCACCACCTCTCTCTCTCTCCATCGTCGCGCCGCCTCTCTCTCCGCCGCCGTTATCGACGCTCTCTCTCCGCCGCCTCTCTCTCCTCACCATCGTCTCTCTCTCCTCTGTTTTCCGACGACTAGATCTACTTTCTCTCTCTCCAAGGCTGCCGCCTCTCTCTCCTCCAGCGTAGCGGCGCCGCCATCTCTCTCTCCATCGACATCGTCGTCTTTCTCTTTCTCTCTCTCCTCCATCGGCGTTGCGATCTATTTCCTCCTCCGCCATGGCTTTCTCTCTCTCTGGACATCGCAGCAGAAAAGGGAAGAGGCGGAGACGGTTGCAGAGGGAGAAAAATCAATAATAATTAATAAAATAAAACTGAAAAATAGGAGTTAATAATATATTGATAATGCCAAAACTACCCTTATCATTTAATATTAATTAATTGATTTATCTGGACCATTAGATCAATCCAAGGGCTGAGGGGGCCGTAGTCAAGTGACTAAGGACCCCCCCTTAGTCACCAGATCCGGACTCCGCTGAAAGGGAACCCCTGGGGTTGGCCCATTCCCTTGTAGTGTATTACCTGTCTAGTGATAAATAAATTTTTATGGTGGATAATGACATCGACTAATATGGAAATGACACAATAGAGAATTAACGTAATATCACGATCCGCATTAGTAATTGAAGTGGCCATCATAGCTTACAAGGGGAGTTTCGAATTATTGAAGAGGCCATCATAGTTTCTGACCAATTGTTTTTTATTACACCGACCGAATTAAAGCAAATAAACAAACATAACGTACGCAACCATTGAGATAGAGTAGGAAAATAGAAATATATAAAGATAATTTCGCAATGACAAAGATCATTTATCCATCCAAATCACACATCTGAGCGATTTTCCCTCTTCCAACAGATCAAATGCTTTGTTGATCTCTTCAAACTTCACTGAATGAGTCACAAACTCGTCCAGTTGCAACTCCTGCACCACCACAAAAGTGAACCAAATTTAACATTAAAACTTTAGTGGGGACAATAAAACACCGATCAGTCAATTTTTAGGTCATTCCAAAGTACAAACGAATTATTAACTTTCACACACACATATATTTATTTATTTATTAATATTCAAAGTATAACAAGCATACCAATCAATGCTGACAATGCATATCATTATCATTATGGCTAGAATTGTGTTCAACCATAGTCATTCATGAATTGAAGTAGAGGTAACATATAAAGTTAACCACCAAGAATCATGCCAATGCTAGTCACATGTCACATTCACAAAAATTATCTTTCGTGAATTAGGCAAATAAAAAAAAATTCGCCACCTCAGTTATCATTTTCACCGGCAAACTTAAACCTCTCTCACAATAAACGATTCAGCAACCGTTCTTTATATCCAATTCATCAATTTTTACAAACCAAACGGAAATGTCAAATACTGTACCTTATCGAGATAACGTTTACAGAGGATGGGAACATCTCGTTTCGCCTTGAGACCGCCATACAAAGCACCGGTCAGGATCTTATGGCCTCTGAGCACATCGGTCGAGCTAAATTTCAGCGGCGTCCCTGGCTTGTCCACTCCCAAAACAACCGTCTTTCCCCAACCCTAAAATCACAGACAAAAAAAACGTCTCATTGAGGATTTGAATTTCCCATCAAACAATGAAAGAAGAGAAAAACAGAGGATCAAACAGGGGGGGAAAAATAGGTACATGGCGGCAGCAGGCAAATGCTTCCTCGACCAACGATGCCATCCCCACGCATTCGAAGCAGTAATCCGCTCCTCCATTTGTCATCTCCAAGATCACCTCGCTCACCGATTTGTCGCCGCAGGTCTTTGGGTTCACGAAGTCCGTTAACCCGAACTTCTTACCTGTATATGATACATTATGACATAATTAAGCGTGATGACTTCAAGTTCAGCGTAACTTTGTGTTTGTTATTCGTGATATAGTTATGTTTGTTTTTTCTTCTATTTAGGACGAGAGAAAAAGAAACGACAAACAAGAAGTCACAATAACTCGAATCGATCGTGTTAAAGTTGAGCTATTGTGTTAATTACACCCTCATCACTTACCCATTTCGAACTTGTCTGGGTTCACATCCACTCCTATGATTCTCTTGGCACCACACAACCTTGCTCCTTCTGCAGCCTGTATGTAGCAAGAAAGCAAACCAAACGGAAATTACTGGGTTATTTCAAAGGGAGGAATAGAAGAACAGAAAATGGGCCAAGCCCAAACGAAAACAACTTAAACAGGCCCAATTCGGCCCAGATAAATGCAAAACCCAATAGCCGTTATTACCGCTAAACCAATGGTGCCCAGCCCAAACACTGCCACAGTGGTCCCCGGCTCCACCTCAGCCGTTCTCCACGCCGCACCCACACCTGCAAAAAAAAAAAAAAAAAAAATACCGTTCCTCCCAAAGTTAATATTTTTAACCGTTGACTAATTACTGAGCAAGACAGTAAAAAACATGCATTTTATTACCGGTGGCGACGCCGCAGCTGAGGAGGCAGGCGCGGTCGGGAGGGAAAGAAGGGTCGATCTTGACGAAGTAGTTTTTGTCGACGACGGTGTACTCGGAGAAGCTGGAGATGTAGAACAAGTGGTACAGCGGGTTGCCGTTTAGGTCCGTGAACCTCGTTTTGTCCTCTCTGGGCATGTACGGCGTGATGTTGAACGGCAGCGTGGAGCAGAGGTTGCTCTTCTCGGAGTGGCAGTCGGCGCAGTCACCGCAGTCCGACATGAACGTCGGGATCACCGTGTCCCCTGGCTTGACTCCGGTCACGTCCTCGCCGACGCTCTCCACCACCCTGCCGGAGAAAAAAAAAAGTGAAGAGAGGGAGGGGGGAAAGTTAATTCTTGGTCTAGTCTGATCCGGTCCAAATTTCGATAAAATTGGGAGAGAATCTAGACTGAAAATTAGAGGGTAGAGTTCGATCTAGTGGTAGATCGGATTTGAGATGATCCATATTAGAAAATATATATATATTGAACTATATTATAAACGAATTATATTTCATTCGATTTAGTTTGAGTAAATATTGATTTTGACGAGGTTGATTTGTATTACTTCTAGTCGCGGTCCATTCTTTTGAGGTATAAAAATGATTAAAAGCGAATCAATCAATAGAAACCATTACCCAATCGCTTCATGGCCAAGGATTCTGGGGTAGATGGCGGGAGGATCCACGAGTTTCGAGAAAATGACGTCGCTTTGGCAGAGTGCAGTGCATATGATTTTGATACGAAGTTCATGACGGCTTGGGGGAGCAACTATTACCTCCTCTATTACAAGGCGATCGCCTGCTTTCCGGCAGATTGCAGCTGTAAAAAACAAATCACAATTCATAAGTTTAATAAAATTTAATTAGATAGGAGAAGATATAATGTTTTACTTTAGTTTTTCCTTCTTTAAACTGTACCATTTTATGAAGCCCAACATCGTAAATCGAAGTCGTGATGAATCAAATGCTTAACTATATATGTCTTCGTAAACAACTTGCAAGTTGTAACACTTTAGAATTATGACCTTCCTAACATATATTTTGTATACTTGATTTTCCTAATACTTGAGTAATGTTATTCCCGTTACCCATAAGAGTTTGCAATGTAGCCTCAATCTGGAAAACAAATAAACTAGCGACCATATCAAGGATGCGAATTATGGCCCATTTTACAAAAGCATATAAACGTACCTTTGCAACGAATTGGTTTCCCGGCGGTGGAAGAGTTGCCATTCATTCTGTTTTGCCTTCTCAAAATGGGTTTGGTTTTCGCTCTTAGGGTTCTGATGTACGGGAGGAGTGTTTATAGACAAGAAGAACACTCATGAAAACACCACCTACTTTTTTCTGTGTGTGGAACTGTGGATAAATCCACCTACTTTGTTTTAAACATGTGCAGAAGTTGGTGGCATAGAGGCAATGATAGCCTAATATATATCATCACGTGATCTTTATTCAGCTTCGACAGACAACTCTTCAAAAATTCACTAGCTTTCCACCCGCCAAATTGGTGGACGAGTTTTGTTTCACTTTTCCATCAATCAATATGCTATTGGTAAAGATGTACAAAAACATCGTAATTGTGGAGACGAGTTTTGTTTCACTTTTCTATCAATCAATATGTTATTGGTAAAGATGTACAAAAACATCGTAATTGTGGATAACCACTCGAATCTCATCTAATTAAATATGGTAGAATATGAAATGAAAAGGTTCCAATGGTATGAATAAAACCCAAATTCTAATATTTCGGATAATTGGTGACATGATTTTCACACTTTGTAACCCGAATCAACACGATTTGTCTTAAATTCACTCTCCTTAAGAGTCAGTTCTTCCAAATTATTGGAAAACTTGTCTATCTTACTAATTAAGGAAGACAAATGATCTACGATAATGTTTAAAATACCAGCAACATAATCATTGTCAGTTTCATGTTCTAGATGAAAATAATTTGGATACCGGCAATCTTTACTCATATAAGAATAGAGTAAGATATCATTCAAACTCAAATAGTATGAAAGCTAGATGAGTCCAGTATCATATACCAGATAAATTAACAAGGCTCACTAAACTTCCGCCTTTGATCTTTCTTGCTTGTGAATAGCTTTACGAGGTTCGGTTGTGTCTTCGAGTTGCTTTTTTTATTCTACCAAAAGTCTTACAATGAAAATCCTCCTCTTTGTCAGAACGTTAAGAAAGACACACAGATACATCAAGAAATAGAAGGTATTTGAGATCGATTGAGAAAAACCTTTAAGGTTTATAGAGATATTATTCAAACATATGGGATTTCGAGTTGCCTTTTTTGTTCTACTAAGGGACTTACTATGAAAACACTCTTCTTTGTCAAACCGTTAGGAAAGACACACATGTATATAAAGAAATAGAAGGTATTTGAGATCGATTGAGAAAAACCAGAATGTTTATAGAGATACGACTCAAACAGAGGGGACTATTACACAATACTCTCCTCTCAACCTTTACTTTCTCTCTCTCCATTTATAGGAAAGATTCCCTTCTAAAACTTGAGAAATAAGCACTCACAAGGTGGCTATACATAGAGATGGTGTCTACGTTACCGTTTGCTAGCTCATTAATTAATTAGGATAGCTAGTGTCTCTAGTATTGTTTGTCAGCTCATAACACACTACACCCACATTATTTAGATTTCTTTGGTCGGATACAAAGAAAATATGAGTGCTACTCATATACTATGTTGTGGGGACGATCTTCATATGGTGTCGTCCATTAGTGTGCCCTCTGTTTGACAGATGCTCTTCAACATTTTTGTGACTTTCCTCCACTCTGCAATTGTGTTTAGATGGATATCGAGATTGGAATCTCTATCCCAAATCATCATGTCCTTCTTTCCATTTTCACCACCTCAGGGTTCATATAACAAATATCATTGTTACGAAGAACCATTAGACTTTTCCTGGCTTAAGGACCACTAGATCGTCTACTTTGTCTATGAATTTTTATGCATAGGCCTAAAAAAATTCAAATTTCAAGACTTTCTCCATCACACATTGATTTTTATGCTCTCCATATCTCGTTTAGAATTCATGGGGTGCTTGGAATTGTGGTGCGATGATTTTCGGGTAAATTGCAAGGTTGGTCACTGAAAATATTTAATTTCATTTGTGGTCACTAAAATTAGTTAAGTAGTTCAAATTTGGTCGCTCTCTGTCCAACTCCGTTAACTTTTGCTTATGTGACGGTCAACTATATTTGCTTATGTGACAGTCAACTCATATAGTTGACCGTCAGATGTGTGACGTGGAAATTTAAAAATAATAAAATTTAATTTTTAAGAATTTCACCTCATTTCTAACTTTTAAAATATAAAAATAAAATTACTTTTAATAATCCAAAACCAACAATCCCAGTGACCAAACTTACAATTTACCCGATGATTGTCTTAGTTCCAACATGAAAGATGTCCCATATTTGATAGAGGTGAAAAACTTGTCCAACGTCGCTTTTTTCTTCAAGTGATTACACACACGACCTTACATTAAAAAAAATCCAAGCCAACTAAAAGCTTGTAGAAATATAGGGTGCAATTTACTTAATAAAGTAATTTATCTTTGTTGATTCCACGACTTCTGCTAATCCAACATCATTGAAGCTCTTTCCTTCCATCACCGTGTCTGCAGTATTGTGTAGACTTGGCCATCCATTATCGCATCTTAGATATGGATAAAACATAGAATTTTCTTCGGATAATAATTATGCCGAGACTGGTGTCTCCTCGTAAAGGGAGCTAACCATTTCTGACTTGAATAACCTTTTGATGTTATCCAAAAATTTCCTTTTTCATCACGAAAACTTTGCAAATTATACACATGTTTTTTCTGAAGATATACATCATTTTCCAATTTGGCAAAGTTGAGTGATTGCCTCTTCCACAAAGAATTCTATTTGCACCATTCTTCTTTTTTCTATTCCTCTTTTAAGAATAGAAATAATTTTGCTTATTTCTTTCGATAATGGTGGCAATTCTTTTGAAGAGAAATCTCACTTGTCTTCCATTGGTTCATCGGTGCTAGACTTTTGACAAGGGGATAGCTTTTCAGCTGTCTGCTAGCATATGTAATAGTAATAGCCCCGGGGCTAATTAATTAGGTTAAGAAAAATATGAGGTGAATAAGAAAACATTCAAGATGGATACATTGAGTCTCTTGGATTTCACGTCATAGCATCTATACTAGGCTTGATGATACGAACCGCCATACTTAGCTTAACTTCTAAGTGAGCAAGATTTAACGAATTCCCCTCTCTCAAAGAAGATAAATGACCGGCCTCTCGCATCAAATCCATAAAAAAAACTACGTTAGGGGGTCTTTTGCTTTTGCTAGATCTAGAGAGATACTACATGTCCTCCGAAGGGAAAAGACGTTTAGTTGCCAGGTCTGTTTGAAGGAATATGGACAAGGTACTCGACCAAGTATTGGGGAGAATGTGATAGTATTCTGTCTTGGGAAACAATCTCTCTTCAACAAGCATCCTCCCTTTCTAATAGACCTAGTGCTAGTGAGAGTTATTGCTTCCTTTGATGTCTCAACCTTTGCTGACTATGTATTCTCCGATAACCCCATCCCAAGGCTCGTCAAACAAGTCACAACGGTAGAGCTCAAACCTCTGCACAAAGAACTCGAGATAAAAAAAATGAACCCATGAGCAAACAATTTTGGAACCCTAATTTTTAATCCCTTATCTCTCACTCTTTTCCTCACAGTCCCATACGAATAATAGGCGGGCGATGACCATGGTGGCAACCGCCACCGAAATTGAATAATCGCTCTGATACCACAATGTAAACTCAAATGGAGAAAAAACTCATTAATTTTTATTGAATGGTGTTCTTCTTTACATAAGTACTACTGCACTCTAACTACACACCGATAATTCAGCCACTACCTCCCATAACCCCTTAAAATCAGCAACTAACTAGACACAATATGTTGTTGCCAATTCATTCGACTAACCCAAGCCTACATACTAACTTGACTCACATATTGACACAATAACCAAACTCGAACAAAGTTATAAAGCTCTACCAATAAGACCCAACACTTAGTTACATTTACTTTCATAACTACAGAGAAATAGAGAACTATATTAAGTCTGGTAAAGTTGGCGTCTTTCCAGGATTGCCCTGCCGATTGGAGTCCCTTACGACGTAGTCGATGGTGCAGAGGCTCTGTTTTTCTTTCTATGCGCTGTCATCGTCCCTGCGAAAACAGAGGATGAGTATAAATGCAGAGGAAGTTGACTTTCAGAACTACAAAGTGTGTTCAAACTTCAAAGTAAATCTAGGAGAAATTTAAGTTAGGGAATTTTGCCAGAAAAGGGCTCCAATTATCTGACAGAAAATTTATCAGAATAAAGTTTGAGAGATGCAGAGAAAGGGGGAGTCGATTTCCCCATGCGATGCAAAGGAAGGAAGATAAACATTTTCTCATGCGAGTAGGGGAGGCCGGCGGCGGATGTGGTTTGGGGTGAGGGAAGGTACAAAGTCTTGTTTGGTTAGGGTTTAGAATTGAAATTGGGATGAGGGGTAAATATGTTAATTTATTATGTTTTAGGGCGATAAAATTTAAATTTTAGGGTGATGAATAGCGATTCAGTTTGATAAATAGTGGTAAATGTTTTGAACATCTACTTGGTTGAGGAGTAAGTTAGCTGATATCAATGTTACGATAAATTATTTTCTATTTTACATCCACCACAATACAAAATTATGAAAAAGGTCCTGGTCGTTTGGATGGATCTATTGGAAAATGAGACAATTTGGTCAATTATTTCATTATACCATAACAGTTATTTAAACGAGTCAGTTCGAATTACCTAACCCACCCCCGACAATTGTAATTGCCTCAAATTGGGTCAATTCAAAATTCCTCTAGTCAAATTGCTTCATCCAAATTGTATGCTGCCAAACTAGTCATCTAAACGACTAGTCTTGTGTGTGAACAAAGTGAGCACTGCTGTTGTTCTGATTTTGCCCTGCAGGTCTGGATAGGGTACCTTCTATGTGGTGAGAGGGGTGGGCATTCGGTCGGTTCGGTTTCGGCCAAACAGAAATTATAAATATTGGGTCCCCGAATTCTCTCAAACCTCAAACCGAATTCGAACCGAATTATAATTCGGTTCGTTTTTCACACAAACCCGAATTTGTGAAGCTACTTGTATCTTCTCACTTTAAAATTATTTTTCACCCCTAATATAAACAATAAATATGCAATTATATGCATCATCAATGGTAAAATCAAACTTTTCAACACATAAGTCATAAAACATTTCAAATATTTAAGTCTAAAAACAACTACAAACATAAAAATCCACCATTTGGAGCTTGCAATTATAGTATTTCGGTTTTTCGGTCGGAAATTCAAAAAATTGATTCGGTTGAAAGAACCTTGGTTTCCGAACTATCCATATTTTCCTTCCGAACTCCAAACCGAATAGCATTAATTCAGTTTCAGTTCGGGTTTACCGAACCGGTTGCCCACCCC